AAACTTCCCCCCTTTGCCCCCCCCCCCCCCAAGCACCAAGAATACAGTGCATCACCTATCTATACCTTGTGGCTAATAGCCACCTCTGCTCCATATGTTTATCGAATTCCCTCTTGAAGCCATCCATGCTTGTAGCTGCCACCACCTCCTGTGGCAGTGAATTCCATGTGTTAATCACTCTTTGGATGAAGAAGTACTTCCTTTTATCTGTTCTAACCCAACTGCTCAGCAAGTTCTTGTTCTCTGGTATATGCCCCAAAATATTTTCTATAGAACAGTACAAATTTCAACTGTGAGGCAGTAGAAGTTCTGAAAGTCATCCTTGAAACTCCTGCACCTGTCCTTGGAGAACCTTCCATTTACATATTCAGGTACATCTAAAAAGTATTGGGGAAGAGAAGAACAAATACTTCAAAATGCTGGATTTCTGGGGGGATAAGCCCTTTCAACTTTAGTCTGTCTCCACATAGATCCTTTCTGCCTCAATGGGAAAGTGTTTGTATCACAATAATATGTGGCTACTGGTAAGTAACCTTAGTGGTTGTCACTTCAGACAGTATTTACAGCCATGCATGCATTCTCATTTTTAAAAGAGAAAATAACATTTGTGTGGACCTCAAATCATTATTTAGTGCAGAGAGCTGAGCCAGGAAGCAGAACTCCAGTTAACTTTCCTTCAAAGGAGGAAACACACACACTAAGTATTGCAACACCAGCTAACTGCATGACAGACAACTTTAGGAGGCAGTGTACTTTCAAGACTGTGCATGCTAACCAAGAGACTATCTAGCTGGAAAAAGAAAGCTGGATACCTTTCCTAGTTTTCCATATCATGATCTCTTACATGAATCTCAGAACCGAGACACTAAAGACAGCGTTCCTCAGCAGTTGGAACTATCCAAGGGTCAATTCACATTTTGTGTACAGAAATGTATGCTGTTCATATTCTAGTGCTTGCAGCAGTAAAATACCACAAGTGTGAAATTGAACCAACTGGATGAAAAGCTGAGTGGCTACTGCCCCCTAGCACATTTCAATTTTATGGCTGTGTACTGCAACAAACACAACTGTAATATCAAATCCAAATTAGCTCTAAAACTGGTAACAGAACAACAGACCACTATCCTGGATTAAATCCTGGATTAATCAGTGGAAAAAATATGTAAAAATGAAATCTGTTGAACCATAAGCTGTTTTTCATTCCCCAACCCGGGGGGGGGGGGAGCAAAATTTGTTTACAAAAAATGGGGAAATTGGAAAAATAGCAGCCCAAAGATTATGGTAAGGCAGGTTGATATGTTTTTGTTCTGTGCATATACCGTAGGTCTATGAAGGATATGTTGCCAAGCAACAAGTCCCTTAGAAAATGAAGAATCTTCTCTTTGCACTCCACAGGTCAAAAGGTAAAAACTTTCCTCTACCTAATTATTACAGTCACTTGCTTCACCAAAGGGACAATGTAGTCTTTGCTTGCTGGACTGTTTCTTTTTAAGATACCATGGATCGTGTATTATATTTCTTTCACTACAGTCTAAACAGTAAACATGTAAGTGCTGCTGCCGGTTTTGTGGATACATAGAAAGATGCCAGCTTCACATGGACAATGCCACAAACTGCTGCAGTGTACAGGGAGAACTAGACACTCCTCTGGATGATGATAAAGACTAAAAGTAACCTTCAGCAGTATAAACAACTGGAATCACATGGATGTTTATAAAGAAACCTAAAAAAATGAGACAGACAAGTGAAACTTGTGGTGTCACTCCTGTCATTTCTCAAAGACTAGGTATTTTTTTAAATAATAAAAAAACAGAACGCCAAGGAAGCAATTCTAACAAACACACTAAAAAGTGGGTGTCAAAAAACCTGTGCCACCAGCACAGAACCTAGAAGGGACATTGCCTGAAATAAATGTGATATGAGCTCAAGCAAGGAGAGGGGAAACAAAAGTTAATTATGAAAAGTCATTCAGAGGGGCAAGAAAAAGTAACATCAAAATATATTTTAAAACCAGAAGTTCATCTTGGTACTTGTGTTAAAACGCCTCGTCTATTTCACTTCTGGAGCCTGACAGCTCCAAGTAGGCAGCACCAGTTGTGTCCTGAATCAGGAAGTTTCTTTTATCTCTTCTGATCGACCCCAGATACACCCCCATTATTTGTACAGAGGTCTTAACAGTCACTCCAACACCCCTCAGGTTTGTTCTACAATGACCAGAAGAAAAGACTGCAGTTTACAGCACTGATTTCATTTGTTTGCAACAAAGTCCATTTTTCTCCTAGTCTTAATATCCTTGCAGACCATTGTACACCTTCTGAACTGATGCCTGTCTCAGCAATTGTTTTAGGCCTAGAAAAAGAAAAAAACCACAATAATTATATATAGCACACAACACTCATCTTATCTTACCCTAAATTGTCAAAGGAAAACCCACTCTGCTCACTGTTCTTATTCTCTGTGAGAACATTACTTTAACACTCTGACACTTAAAGGAGGTTTGAGAGAAAGGGACATCGCTTCCCACCATGTGTAGTATACAAATGCTGCCAATGAACAAAAACAGCTGTGCCACAAGGGCAATGACATTACTCTGGCTGTTGTTTACAAAGCAGACTTCGAATAAGCAAGGAAGCTGGGAAAGATCAGAGATTGTGGCTTCCTGCCCAACAGTCAGTTCAGCCTCAGTCTCTGTTAATGACTATGCAATAAGCCCCTGAGAGATCCGGGCACATTCCTCACAAACTTTGTAGTAGTCATGAACTCAGATGTCATAGTTGGTCAGTGAAACACCTTACGTAGAGAAACAGAATCATAAACAAGGCAGCCTAGTTTACAAATACCTTTAACTATAGAACTGGATTATTTCTCAACACAGTAGAAAAAATGAATATGGTAGAAATAATCTATGGTGCTGCTGCTATGCGCTTTTGAAGATATATACGGGTTAGGCAAAACAACTTCCTAATCTCAGCCAGAGGAGAATGTGTGACTATCTACAATTATTGTTCAAAATATTTGGGAATCTATTGTAGTATACAATTCTCTGCTGTTTAAAATACAAACCTTCCCGCTGTTCATTTGTTAATTGCTCTTTGGGAAAATCCACATCAAATGTGATTATTAGAGAGCCTTTAATGTTGTTATTGTCAAAACTGGGAAGACCTTCTCCTTTCTTCCACAGCTTTGCTCCAGGCTTTGTGATTTTATCCCGGGCAATGTGGACCTGAAGGAAGCAGAAGGGAGGGGGGTGAGGTGGGAAATAGTGTAGAAGCCTACAATGCATACTTTTAGCCTGTATCCCCCAAAGCAGGACCCAAAGTAGAAACAATCCTCTCTTACTTTATGCCCATCCAAATGGGCAATATCCATCTCAAAGCCTACTAGAGCCTCGACCAGCGAGATAGTCACATTTGTATATAAATCATCCCCTCTTCGTTCAAAAACTGGATGCCTGTAGTCAAGAGAAGAAACATGATCATTTTCTTATAAAATGGTAGAAATGATGGGGGATCAGGGATACAGTCACCCTCTCTCTGCTGAGAGGTTCAATTTACCCAGCCCTTGGCTGGTAGGGAGAGGAAAGCTCCACTCCCATTCAGATGTCCTGTGTTTATCCAGCTGATAGCGTGTGCATGAATCATTTAACATTATGATATTTCTTCTTGATAAACGACATTGACACAGACAATGAAACACAATGAAACCAGTTGTTTTCAGCACCTGCCAAAGAGGGAATTGCCCTGTTTCATGATGAGTTAACATAGGACATTTTACAAGTGACTTTCCCGGGTGAGCAACACAAAAAAATAATAATTGAAACCCAACTTACTTAAGAACTTTTATTCGGAACCGCAAGTCACCTGGCTCTCCATCAACATGTGGTTCACCTGAGGAAGATTGAAAACTGGATTAGGCATATTAAGCAGAAGTCAAAAGGGACACCAGTACATGCTACTCAGGCCTGCTTCAATTTGAGATAATCATACAAGCTGTAGGTGCTATGTCCAGGGAACAATTGGTTTGCTTCAGTTTGCGAGGGAAGTTAATTCTATCTTCTAGACCACAGACAAATTTGCTCATAAAAATATGATTCACACACCCATGTCCAAATAAAATACACAGATGGGGGTATGCTGTGCATCAAAAAAGTGTTTAAAATAATTTATCTAAATGAAGATTTGCACAAATCTACTTTTGCTGTGATCAATATGATGGTTCACTCAGATTCTGGGATCTTTGGGAAACGAATGACAGTACATCATGGGCAACAGTGGGAAGAGCGAACAGTCAAGAGAAAACGTGAAAGAGCAACTATGAAAAACAAACTTCCAGTTCCAGCATCACAAGAAGCCTCGACTATGTACTATCTGTACATTTCCACAGTTCTTTCTGCAACCACAAGGACCAGAAGCTTGCATTTGAAAAAAACAAAATGTCTGTAAGAAAAATAAAACTTGCACTTCCCAGAAACTATTTCTGTACCACAAGCCATGCATGAAAGTAATACACACAGCAGCACAGCTGACATTTTCAAGCCTCCAATAATTAATACAGAAGCCATGTTCCCTTTTCAAACCTAACCTGGGCACCAGGAAATTTGAGAAAAATCATTACCACCATTGGTCAAACTAGTTTTAATGAAGTTTATTAGAACTGAAGTGAATGTTATACCTTCCCCAATAAAGGGATATTCCATGCCATCCCTCACACCAGGCTCTATTTCCACCTCTAGGGTCCGCTCTTCATTCACAAGCCTGAAAAACAAGAGAGAGCAAATATGGAAAAAATAACATACCTTCACCAAGCAGACTTCGGGGGGAGATTTGGATTTTTTTTGGGGGGGGCCTTTCCTTCCCCACTTTTGTAGAATAACGCTGCTGGGTCTAGTAAAGGAATAATACCAAAAGCAGCTAGGCATCTTCTGATGACTCAAGGAGTCACCTACAAGAATGCTGGATGATACAATTACAAGTCTCATTTTACTTCACTATTGAAGCTATGGTCTTTATTTAACAGACTGTTTCTTGTTTTCTCTGCCTGGGTCCTTCACACCCTAGTACAACCCTAGAACCAGAGTAGTGGCAGCCACTTTAAACCATCGCCTGCTCCAGGACTGAAGGGAAGGAGAGCATGTGTGGGAAAGGAGGGATCCCTGGAAGCAACAACCCATCTGTGGCAAACCCTGCATGCCCCTGCTCCCTTCCGTGACACACATTGACACTAACATACCCTGGGATACCATGATGGTGTACTGTAATGCCTATAATTTCCCCTGTAAATTAGGAGGCAAGCATAGCTGAAGCCCTCTAGAATATGCCTAAATATCTTAGGGGGTATTACAGGTGGATCTCTGTTGGGTAAGGAACAGATACAGAATGAAAAGCTGGTGACTGTAGGAGTATGAATCTGGATTTAAATTCGTTCACCATATATTTACATTTGATATTGAAGGCCTAGAGGCTACAGTCTCTTAACTTAGGTGCCCTGAATTTGACCGAAACCTGACATTTCTGGTTTGCCTGTCAGAAGGGCATACAGGATGCTATATTTGGGAGTTTTGATCACGTGTACAAGATCTATCACCTATATAACTAAAGTTTCCTTTTAGCCAAGCACAATGTTAGTTAAGGAGAGATTATTCTTTGTTTCTGTTGTGAGGAAACCAAAAGGCTTATGTAATCGTGCTGTTCAAAAGTACATTTGTGTACACCTTAAAAAGGATATTATAGCTTTGGAAAAAGTGCAGAAAAGGGCAACTCGAATGACAAAAGGGTTGGAACACTTTCCCTATGAGGAAAGGTTAAAGCGCTTAGGGCTCTTTAGCTTGGAGAAAAGATGGGAAAGAACAGGTAGAGAAAGAGGTAGTTTCTCCCTTTCTCACAACACAAGAACTCGTGGGCACTCCATGAAATTGCTGAGCGGTCGGGTTAGAACGGATAAAAGGAAGTACTTCTTCACCCAAAGAGTGATTCACACATGGAATTCACTGCCACAGGAGGTGGTGGCGGCTACAAGCATGGACGGCTTCAAACGGGAATTAGATAGGCATATGGAGCAGAGGTCCATCAGTGGCTATTAGCCACCAGGTATAGATAGGGGCTCTGGGGCAAGTGATGCTCTGTCTTCTTGGTGCTTGGGGGGGCCAACAGTGGGAGGGCTTCTAATGTCCTGGCCCCACTGGTGGCCCTCCTGATGGCACCTGGTATTTTTGGCCACTGTGTGACAGAGTGGTGGACTGGATGGGCCTTTGGCCTGATCCAACATTGGCGTCTCTTATGTTCTTACATTTGGGGCAAGACAACATGAAATAGAACTAGTGCTCTAGAATTAGTCTTTGACCTGGTTAAGGAGTTTAGATTCCTCAGGTACTTCCTCAATTTAAAATGTAAAGATGCAGGTTAGGAGAACAAATTGTACAACTGATATCTCCACATTTCCACTGTTCACAGGACTTTGTTGTTTCAGGAATGAGCCTTCGAGGTCATCAGTCCTGTGCACTTACCTTCCCTCCACCCCTCTTGTGTGGCTCAGAGATTAATGAATTCCATATTAATAAAAAACAGTGTGATGACTAAACAAACTGGTTTGTTTTCTACTCTGTAAACCAGGATTCTAAGCCATTTTTAATACTAGTTTAGAATCCTGATTTATTGACTAGAGAACAAAGCATCCAATTTAGACACTAAGACCAAGTGCCACAATAAACCTGGAACTACTTTTATCTGTTGAACAGGGTCTGAATGGGTGTGGCCTCTTTTAATGATCTATTAAGGTTCCAGAGCAATAAAAAAACTGCACTCACAGGGAAACTATTCACATTCCAGTTGAGCTTACCCAGAGGGATTTCCAACCAAACAGTTTTTCATTCACAAAGATAAACACTAAATTACACCACCATGTGGCTCAAATTGGAAATGTAATCACTCCTCCCTCTGCTACTTTTAACAGTCATGCATGATTCTAAATGATGAACATAAGCAATGGAATGTCAGACTCACTTCACGTTGGGGCACTCATCACAGACCACTTCTTGGGTCATCTGGAAACGCCCTGGGCCTAGCTGGGTTGTCCTCATCTCTTGCCGGCAATTGCATTTTCTTTTACCAGGCGCTTGTCTTGCTACTGGTTTGTTTCGAGTAACCTGAAAAAATACATACAGAACCTCTGAAAAATTATACTGTGTAGAGTGTTCTAGCCCCAATCATGCCACCTTAGTCCCTTGTATTTTATGGGTCACACATATGAAGACAAAACAAGATAGGCCAGCAATAGTCTTGACCTGCTCCCTCTGACACTGCAATGAATAACTGGAACCATAGTATATGCAGCACCTTGAGCAAAGGTCCACACATTATTGTCCGGCCCTAGGCACACCAGTCCTCTGCATTCCAGAAGGCCTAGGGAATGACTCTTAGTTCATTGCATGTTCAGAGCCAGTTTGGTGTAGTGGTTAAGTGCACGGACTCTAATCTGGGAGAACCGGGTTTGATTCCCCACTCCTCCACTTGCACCTGGCTGGATGGCCTTGGGCAAGCCGTAGCTCTGATAAGAGCTGTTCTTGAAAAAGAGCAGTTTCTGTCAAGAGCTCTCTGAGCCCCACCTACCTCACAGGGTGTCTGCTGTGGGGAGGGGATGGGAAAGGAGTTTGTAAGCCGCTCTGAGACACCTTTGGGTAGTGAAGGGCGGGGCATAAATCCAATCTCTTCTCTTCTTCTTTTGCACACCCTACCAACACCTCAACATGTGTGGGAAATGACAGGAAAGACTTCTTCAAATACTCACATGGGATGATACAGGCCCTAGCCAACCCCCATTTTATGTGCATGCAAGAGAACTTGTGATAAGACTGAGTCTTATTTCATTTCAAGTGGGGCTTTTGTAGAAGACAGAAGGAAAGCAAGTGATGTTCCTCTGTAAAGCCAGTGCAACAGGAGAAAGCAGCAGACACAGGGTCCCCCAAACAGGGGAGCTGTCCCCTCATTGGTGGCCCAGCAAGAGGATCCATGGAGCCCTGAAGGTAACTTAACTCCGCAGCAGCTCCTTTGCTAAAAGATGCCTGCTCAGTTAGCACAGAAAATTGCGTTACAACATTCTACCTACTGCAACTCATTCACTAGAACATTAACACCACTATTACCTTTTATCTGTCAGCGCCTTCAAGACCAAAACAATACAGACAGAGATAACAATAATGTGCTTCACTGTGTTGTCTGATAACCACAAAGTACAAGAAGAGGCAGTATTCCCTTTCATCATCAAGATCCCTTTCACTGCCTAGCGAAATATACCTCTTCTGGAAAACTGCAGCCTCTCAGTAGTAAGACAAAATGACAGAAATTCACTACTTTTCAGCATGCTTCCTAATTAACAGAAAGAATACTAGCAGTAACGCTAACAAACGGCATCAAATTTCATTGGTTGCCTATGGGACATATTGTAGTTCATTTAAATGGGAAAACCTACACTGCCCTATGACGAAACATCTGGGAAAAAACTTTTGGTTGGATCTGTAAAACCGTAAGAGGTAGAAAATAGACTGGAGTTCAGTTTGTTTGGAGACGGCTACTTGAAAACTCAGAGACACGATCCTTCTAGGAATTAAATTAAGAGCAATTCAAGACGAGAATGTTATATTGTATTTAGCAATAAGGAATATGCAATGCTAACTCTGATTTATAGTTTAGTTTACAATAAAATAGTGTCTTTGTTATAACGGTATATGATTGAGAGGGTTAAAAGAAAAAAAGGGCCAGAAAGTAAACAATCTATTTTAATTTAAACAGTGGGTGCAATGAGGAGGGAGGGGGAACGCCCCCCCCAAGTCCTCTCACAGGAGGAGGGAAGGTTTTCTTCCCGCTGAGTTTCTCAGCCCCAGGAATGAGAGGCATCTCCATTTGGATTTCTTTTGTGTATTTTAGGTGGAACAGGTTTCCCGGAAGAAGAAAGTTAACTGGAATTATGTTATAGTAAATAGTAAATTGAAGAATGTCCATGTAATATATTATGTAGAGATATGCAAGGAATTTGATATGTACATGGAGAAAGAAGTGAAGAAACCGAATGGAAGTATACTTAGCGGGTGGCACAAGATAACAGGACTCAGAATAGAAAGTAATTCTTGGTTAGTAAATGGATATATTAGAAGTTAAGGGATCAGTTTGAGAATACTTTCTATTAATATATAATTGTAGGACTGTTGGAAAAAAGTTCAATGTTCTGTAATTATCGCACACTACAGAAATTAATAAATTGTGAATTAAAAAAAAGAATACTCTTCAATAAACTTTCATTAATTTGAGAATGATGCACAGAACAGTAAACATGTCTCAGACATCAGCAAATGCAAGGAATCAGAAGCTTTGATATAATTGCTCATTAAAGTCTTCTGTATTCAAACAAAAGCACATAACTGCCACTATTCCTCAGAACATTTATGTTATTCATAATTAAAAACGGCTACCAAACTTCAATAAACAAAGGAGGCCCCTCAAGACACTTACTTCAACAAAGTTTCCTGAATATACTTCTTCCAGTGTAACTTCTAGATCCACAATGATGTCACTTCCTCTTGGAATGTTTCTGTCCTGTTGGCGAGGACTGCCTCCAAACATGAAGCCAAAGTCCCCAAAGAAACTACAAAAGATGCAAGCAACTGTTAATTTGGAAAGAAAGTGGAGCTGGACATCATGAGGTTCCTGTTGGCTCAACTGGCAGGAGAGCAGGCAAGACAGCATTACTTCTGTCAACTATGACAGTAGGATCAACCAAACTTGATGAGAGATGTCACCATCCAATGTTAAAAGGTACATTAATCTGTGAGACAACTGTAATGAAAGCAGGAACAGTACTTGCCTGCTAGGGCAGACCCCAAAATGGAGAACAACCGCAAAGACAGCAATCAACACGTGGTTTCAAGAATGGAAGAAAAATGGATTACAGACAGGAGTAACAAGAGCAACTTCAGAAGGTTTCTGATACACTACCTGATGCTATACGGGACCTGCACAGCGTGAACCAGTAAATTTTGCCTGATGTGCACCAGGGGGGTTTGACTGCTCTCCTACCAAACTTATTTGAGGGAACTGGCACCTCTTACTTAAGTCCAACTTTCCATTCTCAGTGAGAAGAAAACATGTGGAACGGGATGCTCAAATACTGCTCCTCATCCCAGAATGGGTTTGAGTGGTTGTGAGGTGCTCCAGCAGGGAGAATGCTTCCTGGGCAATGCAGCACAATGAAGGAGGGCGTTTGTGAAAGAGGCTATGTATGAGAAGTACTTGCCTAACACTCCTACTTTTGTTGCAGATCCTTTACATAAACACTTGCACGAAGGGCTGCTTTATCTTCCACAGTAGTTCCAGCCACATCTTCTTTGAAACTGTGCTGAATGGGAATGCTTTCCTTAGATTGCATGCAGTCAATGTTACTAACTCCCTGGGTAGGGATTCAGCAGCAATGTTTACCCTCAGTTATGCACAGATCCTGCTATCAACAGTACAATCAGTACTGCACTGACAATTCTTTTTGAACAAAAAGAGCATGTGAAAAGGGGGAGCAAAACCTTGTTCTCTGCTGCATCCTATCTCACTGCACTCTGGTGTTTGAAGCCTGGCTCATTTCTGACAGTGAAGCTGGGCTGGGAGTAATAAGGTTAAAGTGCGGGGAGGGGGTGGGGAGATTAAATCACTCCATCTGTATGCTCCATTTTTATTTCAAAAAACGAGCTCCACTTTAGATGTGAATAAATGGATTTGTATACGAGGAACTCTCAAGTATACCTTATTTGTGTCCACCACTTCCTTGGGTTGACAAATGTCTAACTCTGCCTGTTGTGCAAGGGAGCATTGCAAGCAAGGGACCCCTTCTCCTATGTGCCTAAAATTTGGCAAGGACAATCCCTTAGGTAAGGGGAATGACCCCACAATCTCACTCCAGTTGTGTGTCTGTGGGGAGAAATAGAGCTTGTAATATATTTCCTATTAAATAAAAGAAAAACATAAAAGAAACTGAATAAGTGTAATAATGGAGCAACAAAATTTAAAACTAAAACTAACCAAGACCAAACACATTTGTGTGTGCATATCCCTAGCTGCCACTCTAAAACATCAGCTGACCATCTGTTGATCACAGAAGCAAACTATAGATGAAATTCTACAATTAGTCTGATGACACAGTCTTTTAACTGATGATTCTGCTAGACACATTACATTAGAAACCCACTAGCAAGTGGCTTTGCTGTATACCATGGAGGTCTGAAAAGGAAAAAGTGTTCCTATTTATTCCAGTAAGGTTAGTGCACCTCAAAAAATTGAAAAATGTCTCACATTATCTGTTAGTCTCTATGCTCAGTCAACATTTATACTTCTGGCTAGGCCAGGGAAAAACCACAGGATAACAAGCAACTTTGGCAGTAATAGTGGCATTTGTGAGAATATCAGTGTTGGTTCACCTATTGCATTTTGATATGGCTTGTTCTGTCATGCCAAAAAAAAAAAAAAAAGAAAAAAAAAGAGAGGAGGAATAAGACAGACTTACTGTGAAAAAATATCTCCATGGGAACCCTGGTGACCTTCTTTCAGACCCTCTTCTCCATATGCATCGTACTGTTTACGCTTTTCCTCATCTGATAGCACCTGAATAACAAAATAATATACATGGCTATGTAATACACAGACAAAGCTTTAATAAAGATGAATTATTACCCTATTTCTAGTTTGGCATTCTCTATTAACTCATCCCCTATTCCAAAATGCTTGCATATTAATTGTCTAACTTTATCTACTACTTTTTCCTCATTCTTCCCATGTTGGTCCTGCGATTGGTTTTCACAGTATATAAATTGCTGGCCCAGCACATGCTTTATTCAGATATGCACACGCATATGAGGAAAGGGCACAAGGAAGCAAATCAATCACTTCAATGGAGAATGCATACACAACAGTATGACTATCACAAAAATTCACACATTGTCCTACATGGGTTTGGATTTGCATGTACAGAAAGCAATGCAAGAATCAATCCTAAATGCAGCAAAAAAGGAAGAAGGGCATCAAATGGAAAACTTACTTTGGGCCTCCTAAGAGCTATCAGCTAGAGTAAGGACCAAACATCCATCTGGACTTTGGGGTTATTTTTTAACATATAACACTGTTTATAGCAATTTTTTAAAATGGTTGATTATTGAAATACAAAGTTTGGAACAACATCCAATAAATAATAATTTCTGTATGAGCTTATCAGCCAATTCATTTTTTCCATTGTTTTTTAAAAAATGTTGATATGGAGATAAAAGCAGTTGACAAAACCCTTCTAAAGCAATCTATTAAAGAAGAAGGATCTGGCATTTAAACAAAGGCAACAAACATGTATCACTAATTCCAAAACAAACATAGTTACTGCATCTTTGAAATAATTTGAGGATGTTAAAAATACAACATTTGTGTTATATTTCTGATTGTATCTAAAATTTCTTGCCTAAGAGTCTGGGATGAAGCCCAAATACATGCCAACAATGCCAAAAATTATCCTGTACATTACCATGAATTGTCCTAGGTTACAGGGAACCCAATATCAATGATCCTGAATATCATTCTTCAGTCAGCTGATATTAACAAAGAGGTTAGTTTAGACCAAATGCAATTCCAAAGTTCTCTATGAATTGTATAACCTAATTTTTCTTCCATTCTTTCACAAATCTTTCCAAAGTTTCATATGCATTTACAACGAAAGCATAAATATGACTTATTATTTCCTTTGAAATGTTGGTTTCAACGTGCTCCCAGAGGAGATCAGGGCCCTATGGGACCTTGCACAGTTCCGCAGGGCCTGCAAGACGGAGCTCTTCCACCAGGCTTTTAAATAGGAGCCGCCGCCACCACCGTTACCACCAACTATTCCGTTGAACATCTGAAATGGGACTGGCCCACTATGGACTATGCCATTTAATATCTGGACCATAAGATTGGCCATAAGATCAAGAGATTGCCGGAATGGAAATTCATGCCATCTATGTTAATACTGTGAGCACTTTAAATGTTATTGTTGTAATGTTAAGAATATTTATATTATTTTAATGTTTTATGGTTTTATGCTAATTCGGCATACTTTGCCATCTTCTGTAAGCCACCCAGAGCCTGCTTACGGGGTGGGTGGGGTATAAATATAAATAAATACATAGCTGAAATTCTACCTATTGACAATAATTTCAACACTGCTCATTTGCTTAGATCTTTTCCTTAAATAGCTTTGTAGCTGTTTAAGGACTGACTGATCCTAGGTATCGTGTTGGGGAGGAATTACATGTGACACCAATACATGTGGAATGTTCCCCCCTTTTTTCATATTTAAGCTGATCCATTCCAACTCAGTGATGTTTGAAAATCAATCTAACAATGCTCATCATTTCTGAGGACTGATCCAGATTGGATAAGGTCAGAGATATATCATCATTTGCATAAAATGAATTTTATTTTAAAAACTAATACCTCCAAGTTAAATCCAGAATTACTATTGCCCCTTATCATAATGGCCAAAGGTTCAAGAATTAGTTCACACAGCAACCTTATTGATAAATGACAGCCTTGAGTGCCCCATTTTAACAGGTTTTGTTTGCATATTATCACATTTGAAGATTTGAATAAATATTTTGTCTGTTTATTATGCTTCAGACAATCCAGAGATCATTTTCAAAGAGGGATTTTCAGGAGGAAAATTTTCTAACAGTACTCTACAAAACATCCACCATTTTAAAAATAATGTTCTACCATGGCAAAGGCAGGAATTCATAATCAACATCCAGAGCTTGGGCACTTTTTGGTTTTTACTGACCTCATAGGCAGCCCCAAGATCCTGGAACTTTTCCTGTGCACGTGGATCATCGGGGTTACGGTCTGGATGAAGTTGCAGGGCTAATTTTCTGTAGGCCTTTTTAATATCTTTAACAGATGCACTGCGAGACACTCCCAAGATTTTGTAGAAATCTCTCCTAAAAAAAGAGTAATGCACAGAACCTTTGAGCAACATTCAGGCTATGTGTAGGAAGAAGGCAAGAAGGTATGGTTACCGTCTAATAATTCTACCAACCACAATAAATGCAACACAGAGAGAACCTGCAAGAATTTCATCCAGAGGATGCCATGCATGGTATCTCCAATACAGCATCAAAACTCAACAAGCAAGCCTTCAAGTATTAATTTAACATTTGTATTCAGCAAAGTCATACTAAACACACAGTGGAAACAGGTGTCACTAAAACTACAACTGGAAAAAATAATTTATTTTCCACATTCCTAGTAACAATCCCTCAACTACTACTTTTCTCCCAACATTATACAGAAGGCCAATAAGAACTTTGTATACATTACACACAGTGTAAACTTAGCCACTGTTTTATTTCCCCCCGTGCACTGCCAGTTGTGACTGATGACTGATCGAGTGTGTGCATGCATGCACATGGGAGAGGGAATCAGCTGCCACAGATAATAAGCTCTTATATTTTTAACAGAAGGGAAACTTTCACGATGTGAAATTTTTCTCACACACATGTAAACCTTTCCAAACCATGACCTGACAACTATCGTTTACAGAAATCCCATCATTTACTACAGGAGCTTATCATCATCACTTTGGGAAGATGAAATTTAATGTCTAGATATTTACACCTTCCTCCAAGGAACCTGAGACAGTATAGTTACTTTTCTCTTCCACCATTTTATTATCTTCACAATCATCCTGTATGGCAGGTTAGGCTGAAAGAGCACAGCTAGCCTGTCACTCAATAAGCATCACAGTAGGGGAGATCTGAACCTAGGGTTGCCAATTCTGGGTGGGAAATTCCTGGTGGAGCCTGAGGAGGGCTGGGTTTCAAGAGGGGAGGGACCTCAGCAGGGTATAATGCCATAGAGGCCACCCTCGCAAGCAGCCATTTTCTCCAGGAGAACTGATTTCTCTCAACTGAAGAACAGTTATAATTCCAGAGGATCGCCAGGCCCTACCTGGAGGTTGGCCACATTGTTTGAGCGAGGCTCCCCGCAGTCAGGACTGGAGAAAATAGTGCCAATGACCATTATGGACCCAGAGACTGAGAGGGCAGAAGTGGGGTGGGGAAGCAGCATGGCTTTGGTCGCTCCTCAGGACCCATCTCTGGTGAGGGGACGAGAACCCAGAAACCGGGGAGGCATTTGCTCGCTACTCCTGCCCGCCACCCTCAGGCTTACCCAGCAATGGCGGCCCCAAGCATACACAGCAGCAGCACTAGGAGACCACCGAGGGAGCGAGGGGACATGGCGGGGGGTGTCTTCGAGCAGCTTCCGTACCCCCACCGTGCTCACTCGTCCGTAACCATAGGCATAGGAGAGAAAGCGACTGAACCCGGTGAGGGAAACCGACCAACCGAAACCCGGCACCGCAGACTACCTTCCCCTGCAGTGGCCAGTCATAATTGCACACTTCACCCGCGGCCGGCTACGCTTCACCAATAGAATTCTACTACGTCAACAAATTGGGACACTGGAAAGGAGCGCCTTGGGTTTTAGTCCTTGTCCAAGCATCGCGCGGGGCGCTATAAAGTCGTCACAGGGAAACGCCACCTGTAAGGAGTTTTACGTTACCATTTGGTTTTCTGTTGAAACTCGTGGTGGGTCCACTCCGTAAGCAAGCCGTTTAAAGGATTATTAAGACTCGTCTGGTACTTTGCAACTGGAACATCAGAATTAAACGCATGGGATTTTCACCTTTTTGGTTAAATTGGAACGGTACTGCGTACAGGACCAGCGCAAATATCTGAACGGTGGAGCCGCTCTATCTCTAAATCTTCATTGTACAAATCTTTATTTTCCCCATTGGTTGTTTCCAAGGTCAGGGAAAATCGGGGGTGTTTATAGTTCCATTGAAGCTGTCTGCAATGGTGATGCTTTAGTTAGAATAATGTCATGGAACCATTGGAGCCTTGTACGAAGATGACTGGCAAATATGCACGTCTTATGTGAAGATTGACTGGAAGACTCACAGTTTAGTTTATATGCAATACTTGCATTGAAGTAATTGTGACAAAGGCAGTAATCCTTCTATGACCATAATAAATGATTGACTGAGGCAGCAATCCTTTATCCACTGCTCTGGGAGTAATCTCAGTAAAACTAATTGGTTCATATATCTGAATGAATAATAGCATGACAGGAGGCTGAATCCATTCAAATTAATGATCCACTTGAACAGCATTTGTAAACTCTAGGTATAAAGGGTATAAGGGAACAGAAAACATTCTGATGCTAATCCATGGCTCTAGTGTGGGTGAGAGGTTGTGGTACTCCTGAGTATGGCCCCAGGCATACGGCCAGATATCGCGGGGGGGGGGGGAAGGCGTGGCTAATTGCCCCGGTGCAGTGTGATCTGCGATCTTGCAGTATATTAATAAACATAGGAGTAACCCTGGTGGTTATCACTACAACAAAAAGCTAACATCTAACCATAATATCTCCAGTTTCTCATAATTTCATTATTGCACTTAAAAAGCTAAATTTAATTGAATATTGGATCCAGTATAGAAAGCAACTGGTTAAAAATGAGGGGACAGTGAAGGCAACCATTTACCCAGAATTATCTTTGCTGCAATTAAAACTATATTTTGTATAAGGTATTTTTGCTGGAAATGCAAAACAACTACCTGGCAGAAAGTGACTAGATGTAGTGGTTATAACTTCCCCCCATATGGGAATAGCAACACAGGGCTACATTTACTTATTTTTACTTTATTTACATTATTTAACTGCCTTTCTAACTTGTACTCAAGGTAGGTTACAGAGGGAATCAATACAATCAAGAGGATGGGGCATTCAATGAACAATGCAGTAGGAATTAGGGTTGTAGAACCCACAAGAAGTCTAAAAACAGAACTGAAGCAAACCATAAGTATTAACATGACACATTAAATGATGCAAAAAGTACATCAGTTTCAGCAAGCTATACATAGTAGTGTAGACCACAGTCCCTAACAGTTTATCCAAGTACCTTTATGAAGCATTTAGTACAATGCAACTCTGTTAACTATGTAGAAAAGCCTTCTTAAATAATTCAGTTTTGCCTCGTTTGCGGAAAGCGAGGAGAGTGGGAGACTTCCTGACCTCCTCAGGCAGGCTTTTCCATCAGGTGGGAGCCATACAAATAAAATCACATTTTCCACAAAAAATAAGGCCTGGGTGAGGGAGCATAATATCTTTGTGTCTACACTGTTTGTGGTGGGGAGAGAGTAAGGCTGCTGCCCAGTCACAGCATCCCTAGAGTCCTTGATTCACAAATCTGGGTGAAACAAGCATGGGACCCATAAATCTGGGTGAATCAAGCCTAGGGCCCACTATCACAGGCTTTGCGACCAGTTGAAGGTCAAGACCCACGGGTTAGGAAACATTGCTCCATTCAACTGTCTCTTTTTCCTTGCGCGCGAGAGGAAGTCGATATTTCAGGAAATGAAGCTTGATTCTCTTCACTAAATTTTACAAGATCATTACGCCCATGCAGTTCCATTGAGAGAGTCCTCCACACCGGACGGGGCGCTACCGCGGCGTACCCTCGATGGTGATTTCCCCAAGAAAAACCATAGAGACCGAAAAAGGTTTGACAGAAGAGGACTGTCGGGTGCCTTCCTCGTGGTTCAAAAAGCGTCGGTCTAGGCGAGTAGGTCTTTGGTAGATAAACATGGTTTATGTGCTGTAGAATCGTGAGCCCGACTTGCGTTTGTGCGCAGGCGCGGTGGAGTGGAGGGCGTGGACGTTCGAAAGCCGCTTGTCTGCAGAGAGGCGCCGACTGAGGCGCGCAGGTAACGGGAGGGACATGCAGAAAGATGCTCTTTTTTCCTCTTCTCAAAGTGACTCCGCTTAATCTTGGCTTCTTCCAGTCGGGAACAGGGATGCGGGGACTGTTGCTGAGGGACACAGACCTGGGGTCCACAGGTGGCTGTGCTCCTGATAGGGACGCCGTGGTAGGGCTGGCGAACTCCGCCTCTCACATAGAGTCGAATGCCTCAAGCTGGCGCCAAACAGTTTTGTTTTTTGCCCCCGCTGGCCCCGCCCTCACATTTATAAACAGAGCAAAGTTTTAGTCCAGTGGCCCCTTTAAGTTCAACAGTTCCCCCCCTCCCCCAAGATATAAGCTTCAGATCTGAAAGCTTATACCTTGAATAAGACTTTGTTGGTCTTAAAGGGGCCACTGGACTCAGACTTCGTTCTGCTGCTTCAGACCAACGCGGCTGCCCCACCTGAATTTATAAACAGAGGCAGACTTTCATGGAGAACAGGCAGAACGCAGCATATGCACTCTTACAGGCTTCTAAGGACTGCTGCTGTAAAGAGTCTTCTGCTTCACTTGTGTATATGCTTTTGGGTTTTGTATGAATATAACACACTGATAGTTCTAAGAAGCAGCCCTGATAGTCTGTTGCAGCAAACATAGTAGGAACCTTGTGGTACTTTAAAGATGAAGGCTTTTATTCTAGCATAATCTTTTGTGGATTCATGAGGTCAGCTCTAGTTCATGAAACCTTATGCTAGAATAAAAATGCCTCCTGCATGTCATGGCCTTTGACTTCATTGTTTATAATTTTTTCTTCAGTGTCTGCTAATTGAAGATAATGTTTCAAGGGCCTGACAGATTCTGGTTCACAGACTTGGTGTCATAATAAATCTGTTAGTCCTTAAAGTGCTGCGAGACCCTTTTTTGTTTTTAAAAGGTACAGTCTCATAAGGTCTTATCTTCCTTGATGGGAGAATCCATTCCTTTAGTCCTCTTAAAAACAAAGTCCCCAAAAGTGGTATCTCCCTTTCCCTTCTGCCAAATTTAATTTGTACTCCAATTACCTGTTGATTAAGGAAGCTTTTCACCCCACTTTGCAATAGCATTCCGCCTAATTCTAGGAGTCTGGTCTGAATACTAGATTTCTCCAGCACTTGTCATATGAAAATTGTCAAAAGAGACAGAATAGCATGTAGTGGGTGAGCAGAACTTATAGTAGTGCAAGGAAGCTGGAGGGCCACAGGCCCAATATGACCACCAGCATGACCATCAATTCTAAGGGACCTTCCATTTCTGTACTTCTGCTTTTTACGCTGTATTTTATATGTGAATTAGACTTACAACAAGGATACCAAGACGCTGCAAGGGTGGGGGACCAGTTCAGATGATCTGCTCCTGGAGCCAGATAGATCTGAATGGCTTTCTGATGGCTGTACGGGATTTTCCTGTTGATATGGTTGGGGTGTCTCAATGCCTTGGTTGATCTCTAGAATGAGGGAATGGCCTGGGCAGTTGACGCAGTCACTCCTGGGCACCCTCTCTCAAGTGTTAGAGCCTAGATACCCCTTGGTTTACTGAGGACCTGCAGCTGATGAAAAGATGAGAGAGATGTTAGAGCGACAGTGGAGGAAGACTTGGGATGAATCTGATAAGACACAGGCAACACCTTGTTTTAAAGTGCACCGTGTGGCAGTGATGGCACAGAAATAACACTTCCCCACCACCATTGTGTCTGCACAGTGTAAGTCAGCAGAGCTCTTCTGGACGATCAGAGGCCTGTTGCGATCTGGCCTGCCAGAGAAGGTGGACTGCTCAGTGGCCCTCTGTGACTGTTTTGCCCAGCATTTAACAGATAAAATCTCTTGAATCTGTTTTGACTTGGATTCTCTGTTAGCAGTGACAGGGTCAGATGGTGCCAGGGTGCCGACTTGTCCAATTCTTTGGGATACTTTTCATTCTGAGGAAACAGACAGGATCCTTGGAAATTTGAGGCTACCACCTGCTTGTATGACCCTCACCCTTCCTGGTCACATAAATCGGGGTGTGTGTGTGTGGCTGACTGACTGACTGGTTCAAGAAGTTGTTCCTTAAGAGACAGGGTGGTCATCCCAGCCTTGAAACAGGCTATGGTGCGTCTGCTTGTAAAGAAGAGTACCATTAACCCAGGAGATCTCAATGTAGTTATCAACCAGTCTCAAATATTCCATTCTTGAGCAAGGTGATCAAATTGGCAGTGGCTGATCAACCCCAAGCTGTCCTGGATGAGGCAAATAGTTTAGATCTCTTCCAGCCTGGGTTTAGGCCTGGTTATGGGATTGAAACAGCCTTGGTTGCCTTAGTGCTTGACCTGCACTTAAAGAGGGACAGAGGGAGTGTGACTCTGTTGATTCTACTGGACCTCTCAATGGCTTATGATACCATTGATCATGGACTGCCCATCTGGGCTGGGAGTGAGAGGCACCTTTCTGTGGTGGTTCTGATCCTTCCTGGAGGATAGGTTTTAGAAGGTGGTTCTGGGGGACTGCTGCTCAGCCTCTCGGCTATGGAGTCCCGCAAGGTTCTATCTGTATGAGACTCAAAGGGCACT